TCCCAACTCTTCTACATCCACTCCCTTGAGCAGCATAGGGGGATTGGAATGGGGACTGTGGTCAGTCCATAACACTTCCTGTCTGCTGCTCCTTCCTTCCAACATTTTTCCTGTGGGATTTCCTTATGGGCTACAGTCCTGCGATATAAACCTGCTCCAGCATGGGCTCTCCTCAAGCCACCGTTCTTTCCGGAAATATCCAACATCTCCAGTGTTGGGTCCTCCACAGAATGCAGGCATTGCCTTCTCCACTGTGGCCTTCTCCCTGAGCTGCAGGAAAATACATGCTCTACTGCGGTCTTCTCCACGAGCTGCAGGGGACTATCTGCTCTGGCACCTGGAGCACCTCCTCTCCCTCCTTCTTCACCAACCCTGGTGTTTGCAGGGATGTTTCTCACACCTTTTCCCCGCACTCCTCTCCCACTCCAGCAGTTGTGCTCTATCTTAAATGTGCTTTCACAGAGGTTCCACCAGCTTCACTGATGGGCCATTTTTGTCCAGTGGAGGGTCTGTTTTGGAGTTGGTTGGAACCAGCTCTGTCTGGCATGGAGGCAGCCCCATGTCTAATCTCACAGAGGCCACCCCTGCAGCTTCCCCACTACCAAAACCTGGACATGGACCCCAATACACAGTGTAAATCTTTGCCTTGCCAAAGGATGCCCCCTGCTCTTCCCTCATCCACAAATACAATTTACTCACTGGGGAGGAAGAGAGAGAACAGAGAAGGTCTTGAGGCTCTGCAAACGTGGCTCAGCAATAGCTACAACATAGGAGTGGCATTTGATTTCTTCCAGTCTTCTGAGGACTATACCGTGCGCACACCTGAAGTGATGCAAGAGGAATCCCACCAGCTGTGGGTTGGTGGCAGGCATGGGAGGGAGCTGGGTCCCTGGGACAGATGCACTCAACTCCTTAACTAAACCCATGGAAGTTTGGTTTAGGGTCCAAAGAAAGTAAAGTCCTAGGTGTAACCAGGCCGAGGACTTCTCTAGTTCCAGTCTGTTCTCTGGAAACCCACACAGGAACAGAGCAATGTGGTGAGCATTGATGCATGTGGGCTTGGAAACTGGAACACCCATCATGCAATCCAGACATAAAGAGCAGGTGGTTCCTCCCGGACTCATTTATCAAGGAACAAAGAAACTGGTGGGAACAAGGAGATTCATGCAGACCTTTCCCAATGCCTGTAATCTGATGACAAGCCCCCCACTTTATCCCATAAATATGACAGCCTCAGTGAGCCTTCTGTGAGCTCTCCCCACTAAGCAGCCTTGCTGCACAGCGGTGATCTCCCCTTGAGCTCGGACACCTCTCAAGGTAATTCTTCGAGGTGGAGAGACCTCTTACCAACTGCAGAACATTTGAAGTGACCAATAACGTGCACAACCTTGTCTTCTACTGCACTAAGATTTAGCATGGGTAACACTGAATCATTGTTACATCCTTTGTGCAGTATGCAATAGAGTAAACCTTGCCATCGAACTTATAAAGCTTCAGTAAAACCCCTTTTTCCAACCCCTTCAGCGGTGATTCTTTAAATTGCCCATCTGCAACAAATTGGCGTAGTCAGCAAGATTCTAAATCAGGATCCACGACAGACTTTGCTGCAGCCATACAATGCATAAGGGAGGCTTATGAGAAGATGGAGAGAGACATTTTACCAGGTCCTGTAGTGACAGCACGAGGGGTAACAGTTCTAACATAAGGAGGGTAGATTTAGATTGGACATAAAAAGACATTTTTTTATGGTAAGGGTAGTGAGACACTGGAACAGGATGCTCAGAGAAGGTGTGGATGCCCCATCGCAGGAAGTGTTTAAGGCCAGGTTGGATAGGGTTTAGGGCAACCTGATCTAGTAAGAGATGGCCCTGTCCAAGCAAGGGGATTTGGACCAGATGATCTTTAGAGGTTCCTTTCAACCCAACTCATTCTATGATTCTAAGATTGATTCTATTTTTATCAACTTCCCTATTTTAGCATCAGGCAGGTGAATAGACATTCAGAAAGAGGAGAACAGTCAAAAGGTGAGAACAGAGATACAGGGCAGGGTGCTCTGGTGTGATCTGCCTCCCAGCCCTGCATCAACCGGGGAGCAAATGTCATGGACCTTGCATCAGTGCCGTGGTGTTGTCATTCAGGCAGTGGCACAGAGCCACTGGGCT